AAGTTTTTGCGGTTGGCACATAATGGATGTAAGCTATTAAAAGGGCGTGCAAAGTTGTACAAAGTGAGTGCAAAGTTGGTAGATTTGGGTGTACATTTGAACTAAGTTGTTGTCATATTTAACCATGAAGTTATAAAGTAGGAAAAGTGAATAAAATGCAAGTGAAAGTCCTGTATATTAGCACAGTGCCATATGAGCCGACCGTAACATGCTCTCAAAAAGCCTAAAATGATATGAAAAGCATTTGAAAAGTTGGTGGTTTGCTAATATATTTGAACTAAGTCATTGTTATACCGATCCCACAATTAAAAATATAGAAAAAAATGAGTAAATGTGTTAGAAAAGCTTCTTATATTAGCAGATTATACCTCTATCGAAGCGTAACATGATAAACAAACTGCTTACAAAGTTGTGAAAAGTGATTGTAAAGTTGACAAATTTACATTGAAATGTGACCTAGATTGCTATATTATGGAGACCCATCGTTAAAAGTTCGAAAAAGTGGATAAATATGTCGTAAATGACCGATTATCATCGTACTGACTGCTGAAGCACGTCGAGGTCATAGGTTAATCTACGAAAGACACAAGTGCAAACGAATGAGCCGACCGTAACATGTTCCAAAACAGCCTAAAATGATATGAAAAGCATTTGATAAGTTGGTGAGTTTACTAATATATTTAACCTAAGTCATTGTTATATCGACCCCGCAGTTAAAAATACAAAAAAAAATGAGTAAATGTGTTGGAAAAGCTTCTTATATTAGCAGATTATACCTCTATCAAAGCGTCAAATGATAAACAAACTGCTTACAAAGTTGTAACAAGTGATTGTAAAGTTGACAAATTTACATTGAAATGTGACCTAGATTGCTATAGTATCGAGACCCATCGTTAAAAGTTCGAAAAAGTGAATAAATTTGTCGTAAATGTCCGATTATCATCTTACTGACTGCTGAAGCACGTAGAGGTCATAGGTCAATTTACGAAAGACACAAGTGCAAACGAATGGAATTTTGAAATATTTCGAAACATTAAATTACCGTCAATTCCAATAAAATTCAAATGACCCTAATAGCCGAGTAGTCAGGTGACCGATCTTTCACAAACATTAAGATTAATCGGGCATGGCTAGTAATTGCATGGGAGACTAGCAGAGCGCACCAGCTGGTGACATACTTTTTTTGGTTTCGTCACAAACATGAAAAACACATAAAGCATTTCGTTTGTATTTTTATTAGTATGATGTCATACATTTGAAGTACAAAGTCGTGCTGATTATTTTGATATTTTAAGTTTATAGAATGTTTTCAAATTTGCATGTATTTTCAATGTACATCAAGTTTTTGCGGTTGGCACATACTGGATGTAAGGTATTAAAACGGCGTGCAAAGTTGTGCAAAGTGAGTGCAAAGTTGGTAGATTTGGGTGTACATTTGAACTAAGTTGTTGTCATATCTAACCATGAAGATATAAAGTAGGAAAAGTGAATAAAATGCAAGTGATAGTCCTGTATATTAGCACAGTGCCATATGAGCCTACCGTAACGTGATCAAAAACAGGCTAAAATGATATGAAAAGCATTTGATAAGTTGGTGGGTTTGCTAATATATTTGACCTAAGTCATTGTTATATCGACCCCGCAATTAAAAATATAGAAAAAAATGAGTAAATGTTCTGGAAAAGCTTCTTGTATTAGCATATTATACTTCTATCAAAGCGTAAAATGATAAACAAACTGCTTACAAAGTTGTAACAAGTGATTGTAAAGTTGGCAAATTTACATTGAAATGTGACCTAGGTTGCTATATTATCGAGACCCATCGTTAAAAGTTCGAAAAAGTGAATAACTTTGTCGTAAATGTCCGATTATCATCTTATTGACTGCTGAATTACGTAGAGGTCATAGGTCAACCTACGAAAGACACAAGTGCAAACGAATGCAATTTTGAAATATTTCCAAACATTAAATGGCCGTCAATTCCAATAAAATTCAAATGACCCTAATAGCCTAGTAGTCAGGTGATCGATCTTTCACAAAAGTTAGGATTAATCGGGCATGGCTAGTAATTGCATTGGAGACCACCTGAGCAAACCAGCTGGTGACATACTTTTTTTTTGCTTTCGTCACAAACATGAAAAACACATAAAGCATTTCGTTTGTATTTTTAATATTATGATGTCATACATTTATAGTAAAAAGTCGTGCTGATTATTTTGATATTTTTTAAGTTTATAGAATGTTTTCAAATTTGCACGTACTTTCAATGTACATC